AACGCATTAAAATTAAAAATTCATATACATAGATTTTTTACCCAAGTCTACATTATTTGTAGATTTAATTTTAACATATTTCTTGAAACTAAATAAAGAGAAAACATATAATTTCCTTTTATTAAAAAATGAAAAAGTCAGATTTTTATATGCTTTGACTTTCTCACGTGCTTTGCACATGAGTCATTAAACTTGTCTTCTTCTTTCTTGTTGTGTAGATGCTCGTGATATTCAGATCCAAAACTGAGATTCTTCTTTTCCGATCGATCCTTCTTCACTTTCAACCAGAGAAAACTTCGTTCCTTCCTGTCTCTGGGTTTAAAATTCTTCATTCTTCTCATCGGATTTTCTTATTAACCGCCGATTTTCATAAAACCACGGTCTCGGCGGGGAAATTCGGTGTGCCGCGTTATGTCTCCAATCTGGTCTAATTCGACACGATGAGCACCGCCGCACGTTTTCTCGGCCGCCGAATCGTCAACTCGGCCGAGTTTTCCAACAACGGTCAAAAGATATGTTTTAAAATTATTGTGGATAATATTTAAATATATTGAAATTACTACAATCATTTTGTATTAAAATCTATAATCACGTCTTATTCAAAAGTTTAGCGCAACTGAAAAATAACACATCATCATGTGCGACGTGGAAGAAAGCTATGCGGAAGCGTTTTCTTGTGGATCCGGGAGCATTCAGTTGCTTATGGTTTTTGACTACTTGTGTTCTACACTAATTTGTTGCATTTCATCTTTGTATAAGTGGAAGAAGATAGTTAGCAGCAAAAACTAAATGAAAGATATTTCACATTAGAAAGCTTTAAAGCATAGGGTTGTTGATAGAACCAAGCAATGGAAACAAGAATCTGCAAAGCCTCTCCTCTGGTTTTAAGATGAAGAAACTACAGAAACCCGAGAAGCAAAAACTCTCTGCGCTTAGCGGTTATGGTAATAGTGGAGCTTAGTTGGATGTTCCATGGTGTTTTTTATTTTCGCAGCTGTATTCTCTTGTCCCTGATGGGCAGGTCAAGCGGCTTCTGTGCCTCGTGAGGATGTTCCGGGCCTTTGTACACCTTCAGGTGATTGAATAGAGCTCTCCCAAGCTGCCACAAAATGGTCAGGCAATTATAGAGTGTAATCAAATAATACGAATATCACCATGTTGGACCATTAACGAGATTGATAAAGGAGCTCGGAATTATCTATCTCACCCGTCCCTTTGGAAGCATTCCACGAACAGCATGCTCGATGATTCTTTCCGGAATTCTCTGCTGCAATTGATCGAATGTTTCAACTGTCATACCACCAGGTCGCCCTGAATGCCTCCTGTACAGCTTTTGGTTCCTCTTCTTTCCAGACACAGCAACTTTTTCAGCATTCACCTTTAACCAAATGACCGAAACAAAAATCATAAGTTATATGAACAGAAGCTCGTTAAAACAAGTGACAAGTTATACAAGCATTGCCCATACATCTAACCTAAAGGCATGAAAACCAATATCACATTTCAACAAGCAACACATCATATTTGCTTAGTCTAGACAGATGGTACAAGAAGCTCATACCACAATCACAAAAGCTCCCATGTCAACACTAGGAGTGTAGGAGGCAAGATTCTTCCCACGGATGTGATTAGCAATCGTTGATGCCAATCTACCAAGAATTTTATCAGTTGCATCAACCACAAACCATGGCTTGTCAGTATTCACATGGTCTGAAGCTTTTGGATACCATGTCGTGTTCCAAATGTCCTGTAAAAACCATAGTATACTCTCAAAACAAAGCTACAAGCCAAAGTCTCCTAATTTCACCAAAACCCAAACCAAAAAATGAAGAAGTAAAAGTTCCCATTACATAAATTCATCAAATTTTCAAAGCCCATCTTTCAAAAGTTTCAAATTTCCCAGAATCTTTCACAGATTTCTATGCTTGAGAAGCTAAAATCAAAGAGGGAGATAGATAGAGAAAATATCTTATTACAGGGCCATTTGCTTCTTCTTCGTCGAACATCCATCGCTGATTCGCTGGAACAAGAGAAGTAGTCGCAGCTTGCTCCGATTCGCACTTCACCTGTAATCCTCTTCTCGTGTTCTTCGCATAAATGCCGACTTGTACCGACGGCTTCGAGATAGCCATTAGAGGAAAACCTAAAAACGGAGACTTTCTTTCACTTCCAGAGGATTTCATCGGAGAAGAACGGAGTGTAACTGTCGAAGACGAACAGAGAACCGCCATTTTTGTTTCTCTCTTCTGCAAAATTTCTTCTGCTCTTTTCGATTTCTCGGATAAGATTGGGTTCTTCAGTAAATAACAGTGGTGGCACAACTGTAAATAAGCTCATTTCCAGGACCGGTAAGATATTATAAAACGGGTTTAGGATCCGGTTTATTCGGAGCTCCGGATCCAGCCCCAAAAGCTGGTTTTTTTTTTCCTCTCTCTCTCTCAGGTCTTCGAAAGCAAGGAAACTGTGTATATACGGTCATGGCTTCGATTTCGTCAACTCTACTCTTAAATTCTAGATCAGATTCACCTCTGAGATTCCAGAAATTATCTGGGTTTTCTTCTTCTCCATTTTCTAGATCCTGCCGATTTGGAAACCGTTATCTGGAATCAATTATTTCGCCGGGAAGGAGAATCGACGGTGCTATGGCGGCTACATCGGTGGAAGGAGTTGTGACGGAGGCGATGAAACTGATTCAATCGGCTTCACCTACATGGAAATCCGCTGTGGCTAACAATTTTTTGATTTTTGTTCTCGGATCGCCGCTTCTTGTTACCGGATTATCTGCTTCTGGAATCGCCGCCGCATTCTTGCTCGGTACTCTAACTTGGCGGGCTTATGGGTCTGCTGGTTTCCTCTTAGTCGCTGCTTACTTCGTCTTAGTAAGTGTGCACTTGTTATGACTTTACCGTGATTTGGTCCCTGCCTCTTAAAACTAGGAAAGTCTCTAATTTGATTCAGATTTCGAGCAGGTGAATGAAGAATGTCCTTAAATTTTAGATGTAATTAAGATTTGTGTAGGAATTGTGGATGTGTTAGGGATCCTGAATCAATTATGAAGGCATAATTGAAGGGGGGTTTTGTAAGATTTTCGATATATAAGAAGAAGATCTTCTCTTGATTGATCATAGGCTTGATTCTTGGTTTTGTAAATGTATTGGGGTTTTGGAGACATTAGACAAGGAGAGATTTGTAAGTAGGCAGTTTATTGTCTCTGTAGATTGAAAATTGAAATTAAGGATCATGCTTGACATGGAGACAAATCGTCTCTACTCTGCTAATTTCCTGAGATGGGAAGAGTAACACTTAATTTGCTATTGATTCTGGCGTTGAAGTTGGTTTAGATGATTTACAATATTCACAGGGAACAGCAGCAACAAAGGTTAAAATGTCTGAAAAGGAAGCACAAGGCGTGGCCGAGAAGAAAAAAGGTAGAAGAGGACCACGGAGTGTGATTGGTTCAAGTGCTGCTGGTTGTGTCTGTGCTTTTCTTTCGATATATCAAGTGGGAGGAGCAGCTTTTTCACAGCTTTTCCGGCTTGGTTTTGTTTCCAGTTTCTGCACTAAAGTGTCTGACACGGTCTCAAGCGAGATTGGGAAAGCTTACGGAAAGACAACGTGAGTATGCTACTGTTATTCAGCTATGGCCTCTTCTGTAATGGTTTGCGTTACTTAGAACGAGTAGCTAAGATTTGGGTCTGTCTTCTGTTGTAAGCGTGTTAATGGATTTGTGATGCCATGCTTGAATCCAGTTGCCTACTTAAATGATCTGCATGCATTTCGTCCCATTACTAACTGGTGCAAATTTGCAGGTATTTAGCCACAACATTCAAGATTGTACCAAGAGGAACCGAGGGGGCTGTGAGTCTTGAAGGAACATTGGCTGGACTTTTAGCATCATTTTTTCTTGCCTCAATTGGCTGTTTCCTGGGTCAGGTACTAGAGGTTATCTAAATATTTCGTTGAGGAACATGGCAGCTATGTTATTTGCCTCGAAAGTTTCCCTTTTCGCATCTTTTTTCAACTGAACACAGTTAGATATTCATGGAAATTTTACTCAGAAGCACTATATGATTGTAAAATTCTTTTCCTTTCGGACCCCTTGAACGCAGATAACTCCTCCAGAAGCAGCTGTATGTGTACTAGCTTCCCAGATTGCAAATCTTGGAGAAAGCATAATAGGTGCATCTTTTCAAGACAAAGAAGGATTCGAATGGGTATGCTCACTTCAATTTGTTTTTTCCTTGTTTGATTGCTCTCGCTGCGTTTACTTATTGTCAACGCTAGAAAATGATAATCAGCTGAAACACCGTCGCTTGTGACAGCGAAACTGATATATAACTAGCTTGAGTGGAAAAACAGTTCCCATTTCATTAAACTCTTTGAGTTCTTGCCTTGTAAAGCTATTTTTGCGATTAGCTACCTACAAAACAAGGCTGCAACTCTCTAATTTGTGTTGGCAATTTTGTTCTATGTAGCTAAACAATGACGTAGTCAATGTGATCAACATAAGCTTGGGAAGCATCGTAGCGATTTTGATGCAGCAGTTTATACTCCAGAATTGGGTCAAGTAAAAACATGTTACAAAGGTCATGGTAAGGTTAGATTTTTTTCATCTGGTTGATGATGTGTGAACAATCGTATTTATTCTAGATTTTGTGTAAATACACTACATTATGTAACAATAACAAAGTCCAAAATAAATGAGAGAAATAAAACTTCTGGGACCATTGTC